TCTTGGGATTGGCTTCTGGCTTAGAGGCGTTCAGCCGAGAACCACCGTGCGATAGCGTCGGAGCACTTGCCGTTCGACAAACTCCAGAAACCAGAGGCATGGCATGGGAGTTCCTCTCGTACTACCCCATACTTCCCTCACGATACCTGCGAGATCCCTTCACAATCTCACACTAGTACACATACATAAATTATGTGAACCAAATTATAAAGTGATGACAGTACCAAGTACATGCCACCAACCAGCCAGTCCAGAGACAGACTGGAGTCAAACTCAACAGGATCTCCTCTTTCCCCGCCTAGCCCTTCAACTCCGTTCCCTTGACTGTCGTTTCGCTTGATAGTAACTCGGGACAGAGGGGATCTCATTAATCCATTCATGTGCGTGGACCAGCGTAAAGTAGCTACACCTCCACTCCAGTTGCTCACACACATGTCGATGGATATCGCCACGCCGCCATTCAGTGAACCCCACAGACGCCGCAGTGGAGTGGTCCAGCAACACAAAGTGTCCTTCCCACTCACAGTGTACACAAACACACAATGACAGTCTCACATGCTCATGTCAGAGAGGCACTACCGCATTCACTAAAATGTACACCAAGTCACACACCTACAGAGAGGAAAAGAGAAACACAAGAAAACAACAACAACAACAACAGGATACCAACAGCACACAAGGCACTCACAATACAATAATCACAGGTGCCACTCTCATCGGAGAAAAGCACTCACCCACACCAGCACATCAACTCAAACCCAAAAAAAGAAAAAAGAAACAGACCCATTACGTGAAGCCGAAGCGGAACAGTTTCACTTCACCTCTTCCCCGCAGGCTGCAGTCACACAACAAACAACACACACCACAAGAGCAGAAATATGTTCGTGGTAATACCGTGTGAGTGACACCACCGAGAGAGAAAAGGTGAGAACAAAGAAATGTGTTTTCATTACGTGGGCGGTGCGAGCAGCAACCCAAACACACAAAGGAACACACAACAGAGGGGCACACTCAAACATTTACAACCCACCGATCTTTATACCAAAATAAAAATGTAAAAAAAGAGTGACTGCGTGAGGCAGACACAATAATAGAGCAAAGATGTAAAAAAAAAAGAAATTCATTACTTACTGTGGCTGCGATGCCTGGACACAGTCCAATTCACCCCAAGGTTAACAACGGAAAATCATTGTGTACTGAACGTGTCGTGCCCATATCTTTATTCTTGATGTCCGTGCAGCAGTTTGTATATAATGAAAAAAAAGAATCATTCCATAAAAATGAGCACACAAGATACACAAGGTGTATTGGAAACGCAAAAGAGAAACACACAGATGCACATAATGTGCAATGAAATTATAATGAAACACACACAAGGTAAAAGCAAAATAATGAAAACAAAACAAAAAAAAAGCCGTGATCACCATGTGAATATGTTCAGGAGTCAAGAACACAATTCCCAGCAGTGCGTGTGTGTGTGTGTGTCTTTCGTACAGGGCGAGCAGTGGGAATAATGCACACATGATGACAGTCCACACACACACACACAAAGAGAAGGACGGTTGGTGGTGTGCGTGTTTGTGTGTCTTGAACCTCCTGTCATTCTTCACATTTCAGTCACAGCAATTACAACAGATTTGGGATTGTATCCCATTCCCATGGGTAAAAGCAATAGTTATTAATATCACGGAACACACACATCACCAGGAGGGCACAGTAAATGGCGGCAAAGCAGAGCCCAGATAATAATGCGAACAAACAAAGAGAACACTCCCCTCACAAAATGATGGTTTGTCATGTGATGAGTGCCATAGGGAGTCCAATAGATTTGTTCAGTAAAAAAATGCAAATAAGAGATTTATCAATCTGAAAAAAAAACCAACATCCAACCAAAAGAACAGTGCCCTTACAATGCATCCATATCCACTCAAACAAAGGTTAACTGTGCAACTGTGTCATGGGAACACCAATCAACACACGAGAGTGCAACCCAGCACACATAGCAAAAGCAGCAGTAAGGTTCTGTGCACCAATGCAGGGTTGCTGCTGCCGTCATTCTTCTTGGCCTTCTTCGCCAGCACCGCTTCTTCCCTTGCCTTTCTTCCACTCTCTTCTCTAGCCAATTTCTCCGCCTCCGCCATTTCCCTCCTTGCCTTCTCTTCTTTCGCCTTTTTCTCCCTCTCCAGTATCGCCTTCTCTTCGGCCTTTCTTGCTCTTTCCTCATCAGCCAGTTTCTCTCTTTCTTTTTCGGCCCTCACCTCTTCCTCCCTGCGCCTTATTTCGGCCTGTTTCTTTTCCTCAATAACCCTCTGTTCTTCAGCGTTTTTCTTATCTTCCATGATCTTCGTTTCCTTCTTCTCTTCATGCTCAAAACTTTCCACAATTTTAGAAATTTTACTTTTGTCGACTGGTTCTGGGTATACCCGAATGACCGCGCCGCCGCCCGTACTTGCCATGCCTCTCTCCCCAGCTTTAACTCCCCAACCTGGCCCTTCTGTCTTTGGCGCTATACTATTCTCATGTACTTTGGCAGCCACTTCGGTAAGCGGCCCTTGGATTTCCACGGTTGTTGCGGCCCCTTCAAATGCATTCATCTGCGGATTAAACTCACTGTCCATTTTGTTGACTGCTCCCCTCGCCTTCCACAGGTATCGCCGTGTGGCTTCCAGGGAAGTTATCACATCCTCCAAGTTTTTTGCAACTTCCCTCGAATAACCTCTACTGCGTACTTTGATTGCATTGAGCTTATCGACGAGCCCCACCAACTCCTCTTTTTTCTCTTTACTAGTTTTAATAATGCTTGCCCAATCAGCAGAATAGTTTTTATTGTTTTCCTCCTCAAGCAACCCCGTGTGGTACTCTCGACGCATTTCATTTGAACCCGTTATCAAATCGTTCAAGTTACCCATGGGTGCCGTACAATCTACCATCTTCCTTGCCTCCTCAAGTGTCGTTCGTGCTTCGGTAACGATAGTCTTACTTTTCTCCACTGTAACTTGCGCACCTTCCACATGCTGTCGGAATCTCCCTGCAATTTTCTTTTTATTACCATCGTTCTTTTCTTCATTAAATTCCTTCCATAAAACTTTCGTCATGTTGGAGATATTCCTCATTTCCGTGGCGATCTCCGCAGCGCGCTTAACCTGCGCCTCGAACTTCTTTGTATGATTCCCCCATACAGTCTCACAGGCCTTCGCCTTCGGATAATAAACTTCGACATCACTTAGCCACCGCCTTACGATCCCCGCATTTTTTTCACCCTCGCTCAGTTGTTGGGGTTCCGCGGCAGACACAACGAACGCACAGCACTGCAGAAGTACCAACAGGTACACCACACGGCGCAGTTGGATGAACATCGTTGTCATGATTATCACTGTGAGTTGCTTGGGTCTGTGGTAACAAGGAAGAAGAGGAAAAGGAGAAAAGAAAGACGCACATTTAACACACACGGTAGAGTGTACACAGCAACACAGAGAGAGAGAGAGAGAGGGAGAACACACATCACATCAGCTATCAAATACAACCCAAGGAAGGAGCAACAATAAACCACTCAAACAATAAAACACACCCAGAGTTACACAGATATTGAAACAACACCTTGAATTTAGAAGAAGTGGAAAACAAATGGATTCAAAACAATATTAAATAAACGTCTCTACACACACTCCAATATCTTACTCGGTATTCATACACAAAGTGTGTCTGTATTCTCATTATAATAAAACCATTACCAGGCAGTTTAAATACCAAAATACACCAAAAACACAGTGTACGCCTGGCAACATACAAAAACAATACCACAAATCATCAGCAAAACAAAGAGACTGTACAATAATCAACACACTTCCATACGGAAAAAGAAAAGAAACCAATGCATCACCATAATATTTATACCAACGCACCACAATTGGAATTTAAAATCCACTCACCCACAACCATAACAAAAATGACTGCATACATCACTGTAATACCATGCCACTCTTTATAAACAGAGGCAACACAGAATTACTCTCTCTCACACACATATTACCTCTTTATTTATCCTTATTACTATTATTTTATTTTTTTCCATCGGAATGCCGGTTCACCTCTTCTTCCACAGCATTGCCAATAAAGAAAGGAAACACACCACGTTGAACGTTAGGAGGGTACGATCAAACATATCCCCTTCCACCCCCCACCCAAAAAGGACCCCACCCACCACACCACCACGTTTTTTTTTCTGTTCTTCTTTGCGTTATGGATATTACTCCAATGGAACGGGTCATCAAGAGTAATACATAAATACAATTTGTTTTTATATTATTTTTTTTACTACCGTTGGGCATGGGGAGTGCGCATTGGTAATGAAATTATAATGGATCTCGTGGGTGGCAAAGCATGGATTTTTTCGCCTCTCTGAGTCCCCTCAGCGGCAAACCCAATTTCCACCACTGGAGGGCATGGATCTTCTTGGATAAAGTTTTGTCCCAGTACGACTCTGCTGGCCACGGTGCTGTATGACGTTTTTAGCTTATGAACCAGTAAACTCTCAAGAAAGAGAATTTACTGACCCATGGCTTTGCTCAAAATAATAGGGGATAATGGGCATTGGCTACACCTTTCGATGGCCAAACGTCGCCAAGGGAATGCCATTTCTAAGAACGCATGTATTGAAAAGAAAAAAAAGGAAGAAAAGAGACACCCGATGAAAAGACGCAAAAAGAACAAAAAACAAAAACAAATCTAGAAGGGTGTGTTTGTTATCCTTTCTCTCTCTCTCTTTTTTTTTTTTTCTTTTTGATGCTTGGACGTCCTCTCTGCTTCTCCGACTTCAGCAAAAGTCTGGAAGAATTAAAAAAAAAAAAAAAGCAAGACCCGAGCCAGACGTCTTGTAAAAAAAAAAGCAAATAAATAAAAAAACATAATAAGGAACCGATGGGAATTCACTTCGCCCAATTTTTTCGCAAAAAAAAAAGAAAGCATGTCTTTCGTAAAGTTTTATCACTTGTGCAAAATATTCCCTTCAAAAGGGTCGGCGTAAAACGCCTGGTCTCTCCGTTTTTCCTCTCCCTT